GTTACATTTAAATATACTTAAAATTGAGAAAATGTTGCAATTTTGGGACAGAAAAAAAAAATTGACGTACGCGTGGCACGTAATTCCCGTGTTACGTAAGAGGTTAACCCCATGTGCTGGCAACTGATTCGCGGACCATAACGAGTGACCGAACCGTATACGATAATTCGTCGCCTTTCTTTTTCTTTTGAGCTCGTCAATATGATATCACTGCATAGAAATTATTAAGAAGTAATAAACTTATCATTTGTTTTGCCTGGGTTACATTTAAATATACTTAAAATTGAGAAAATGTTGCAATTTTGGGACAGAAAAAAAAAATTGACGTACGCGTGGCACGTTATTCCCGTGCTACGTAAGAGGTTAAGCGCGCTAGGAGGTTGGAGGGATGCTCGGAAGAGTAGCAGCAACTTTTCTCACGAGCCAGTGGAAATGATTCGATTGTCTTTGCTTTGATTTGCAGATGGTAGTGGTGGAGCAGGCGCTGGTGTTCAGTTGGTAGTGGCGTGCGCCCTGACTGTGGAGACCACCTGGTGAGAAGAGCGGCAGAAAGCCCGAGACGGCTGGGTGAAACGAGAAAGAAGAAGAAGAAGAAGGGAAAGAAAAGAAAGAAGAAAAAGAGGGGGAGGGGGCGGTGGGGGAGGTGGAGGAGGAGGAGGAGGAGGCGGCGGCGGCGGAGGAGGAGGAGGAGTAGAAACCACGGACAAGACTGGCAGATATCAAACAGAAGCAAGAGGGGCTGGAAAGGAAGGGAGAAGGCAGCGGGAAGGGGAAGGGGAAGGGTGCGAAGACGAGGAGGAGGAGGCGGCTTTTTGGTCTCGTAGAAGGGCATCGTGCCGACGGGATCTTCCGGCAATTCACAGGATACATATACAGGTTATACATATATATATACATATATATATCGATATCGCTCAGTGCTGCGAAGGTCGCTGATGTCCGCTACGAGCCCTGCCCCTACCCCTGCCAGCTCAGCGTCGCCCGTACAGAGCGGAGGAAGAACGTCGTCCACGCCACCGTCGACGCGGCGCAAAGTCACCCTAGGCCTCGATCGAAGAAGAACGCAGCTGATCTTTCTTCTTCAGCAGCCCCGGCGACCACCACGCGTTCCCACCGCTGAAACTTCGGTATCACTGCTGCTGTATCGCCGATCAGCACGACCACTCCTCTGAATGTCTTCGCACATCCAAAAGTCGTGCGTGGTGAGGACACAGGTTCACTTGCGCTCCTTCTTTCCTTCATATAGACAGAGAAAAACAGAAAGAGAGAGGAGAGGGTGTGGGGGAGGGGGACCCGGTTTACGCTCGTTCCTAACTTTGTTTTCATTTGATTTTATCACCGGTTCCATTCGCCGTTCTCTCCCCATCTTTTTATCCTTGGTGTCGTTTTCTTTCTGGTCTCTTAACCGTCGAGATTAATTATTAACACGCTCGAGACGGAGCCGAACGTGTATTTTTTATGTTTTATAAATTATAATTTTTTTACGTGTATTTTTTATATTAATAAACAAGTGTATTTATCAGACTCGATACGCGTCCGAGTGAGGTGTCCGATACCGGCTAAACGAATAATGGAGTGTCAGTCCGCAGGGACTGACAACGTCTCGAACGTGTTAATTAGTAATTACTGCTAACCGTTAATCTAAGAGACGTAATACACATGTGTGAATAGGGACTCGTAGTTCGAACGAGACGAATTTTACCAGACTCGGGAGATCAGACGCGCGATCCACTGTTTCTCTAATTTTGTTGTTTCTGTCCCCTCGTTCGGCGCTGACCTTTCTTCACCTGCTGGCCGATTTTCCAGGGTTACGGATTCACCGGGAATACCTAAGCTTCGGGTTCAACGAGTCCGAGACGCACAAAGTGGTAAAGAGCACGATAGATACCACGTTCGAAAGGAGTTTCACGAGACCCATTTTAAAGTTGGCATGCGAATTCTCTTATAAACGCGTTCGATACCCGCGAAATGAAATTTCTACGATTTCTCGGTGTTGTTCGAAAAATCAGTGAAACGACGACGGAAACTTCAAATCAGAAGCGGAATTCGATTCGGCATCAGGGAAGGGAGAATTGATAGAACTTTCGCAAAGGGTTGCATATAATCGCGTTATTGAAAAGTTGCCGTGTAAAAATTAATATCGAAGATCCTTCGTGCGCTCTGTCTTTCAAATTTTGCTCTTCTTTTTGTCAGATTTCTTTACAGGGTCACGGCTACGAGTTATTTTACCGGTGAAACGCAGAAAGTAGAAAACTGTAAAGGACGAGATATCAACGGTCGATACTTTTTTAATTTTAAGAAAAGAAAAAAAGTTTGGAAACTATAATTCTCAATTATCAGGTGTTGGCCTAAAAGTAATTGCGTTTTTTTTTTTTTTTTTTTTTTTTTTTTTTTTTAATATAGATGGACATACATGTCAGTCTAGTAAAAAATGTCACTAATTTCATTTCAAACCGCAAGTTCGTTCTATAATCTGATAACTGATTGTCCGAGCTATAGAAAAAGTTTTAGGGAAAGAAAATGCAAAATCTCGTTAACGTTTGTTTGTTGGCCGTCGATTTCAAAGTAGAAAATCAAGAAGGAGTTTTGCTGAATTATGTTATACGAGCTCGTGAAAAATTATCCAACGCGCATGACGAAAAACTTCAGCAGTGTCGAAATTGGTTTGCTAAATTTCACCACTACTGAGGATATCAAATTCTGTTCTTGAAACTGTTTTTCTTTTTTTCTTTTATCGAAAATAATAAAAACTTTTTTGAACGCTAAATTAGGAAGTTCCCTGAAGGATGGTCACAGGTATTCGAAGAAAATGTATTTCAATATATTAAAATTTTTTTATATTGTCTAATAAAATTTCTCGCGAAAAATTCGCCTTTCATTTTCACAAAGAAAAATGCAGTTACTCTTTGGCCGCGAACCTAATCATTTGAAGAGATGGATCGAGATACGAGAGATGTTCCAATTAGATACTTTACAGAAAACCATTACACAAATCAGAAATACGAATGCACCTCGATGTCTTTGAACTATGAAAGATCCATTTAAAGTATTAGATTGCCCTAAAATTTTCTTTCACGGTCTGCGTACACCGCCAAGATTTACTCTCCGTGCTCTTCGTACTTTTGATAAATGATACAAAAATGCACCTCGAACTATAATGTAGTGCACTCATAATCGTCCATAGTTAAGACCGAAAACTGACGCTTAAGACTCGTGGTGTATTCTACGAATTGAAAGAGTGGGGATGAGTCCCAATTCCAAGAATTGGTGGGGATGAGCGACGAGCGCTTACGAAATGAAAAGCGCGGTCATTTATGACGGCGCTATTGTACATTGTAAACAAACCATTAGGGTGGTTTAGGTTAGGTTTCGCAAGATGGCGTTTCGGAGAAATCGAGGGAGGTAATAGATCATACGTAATTCTATGACGCGATACGAGACATAAAATATCGTAAATACGATACATCCGTTATTTATCAACTGAAACGAAAGAAACTACCGAGACAACCGAACACGTGTCCTGAATGGATTGAATCTTTAACTTCTTGTGCTAGTAACTGGTTCACGGACCATAACAAGTGACCAAACCTTTTTGAATTCATCGGTATATCACTGGATAGAAATTACTAAGAGGTAATAAATGTATTATTTGTTATGCCTGGGTTATATTTCAATATACTTAAAACTGAGAAAATATTGGAACAATTTTGGAGCAAAAAATACTCGACGTACGTGGCACGTCATTCCAGCGCAAGAGGTTAACTACTTGCGCTGGCAACTGATTGCGGACCATAACGAGTGACCAAACCGTATACAATAATTCGTCGCTTTCTTTTTGAACTCATCGGTATATCGCTGGATAGAAATTACTAAGAAGTAATAAATTTATTATTTGTTTTGCCTGGATTATATTTCAATATACTTACTGAGAAAATATTGGAACAATTTTGGAACAAAAAATACTCGACGTACGTGGAACGTTATTCCAGCGCAAGAGGTTAACCCTCTTGCGCTGGCAACTAATTGCGGACCATAACGAGTGACCAAACCTTTTTGAATTCATCGGTATATCACTGGATAGAAATTACTAAGAGGTAATAAATTTATTATTATTTGTTATGCCCGGGTTATATTTCAATATACTTAAAACTGAGAAAATATTGGAACAATTTTGGAACAAAAAATACTCGACGTACGTGGCACGTCATTCCAGCGCAAGAGGTTAATCATTTGCGCTGGCAACTGATTGCGGACCATAACGAGTGACCAAACCGTATACGATAATTTGTCGCTTTCTTTTTGAATTCATCGGTATATCATTGGATAGAAAAAGTGAAATACTAAGTGGTAATAAATTTATTATTTGTTTTGCCTGGGTTATATTTCAATATACTTAAAACTGAGAAAATACTTGCAGTTTTGGAACAAAAAATTCTCGACGTATGTGGCGTGTAACTCCAGCGCAAGATGTTAAAGAAAAGATCAAAGAAGCTTCTCGCGATAGATACGAAAGGTAGGATTTTAAAAAAAAAAAAAAAAAAAAAAAAAAGAACGAATGAATTTCATCGAGGAAAACGCGAGTGCGGGATGTGGAGGAAAATTTGATCGATGACGGGTGTGAAATTGGAGGCGTGAGATACTGTCGAAGAGTAGAAGCAGAAACGACGAACAAGTATAGGAAAGGGTGGAGGGTAAAGGAACGAGCAGGGCGGGTATCTGAATGGCGCGCGGGGGTTGTTCGCGAGCGGGGCACGGAAGTTGCAAATGGAGAAAGTTACGCAAAAGTAAGATCGGCGAGTTGCCTGTAAGTAACCAGTTGGTTGAGCTCGCCCGAGGTATACCGTCGAAATTAACTCCTTTTCCAATTGGAAGTTTCCCTGCCGAGAGTCCGAGGAATTTTTCCCAGCGACTTCTTTTATCCGTGAAAAATTCTGTTGGTTATTTGCTAATACTTTGTTAATACCTTTTCTTTTTCCTCTCTTTTTCTTTCAGCCCCACCCCTTTACTTCGACGATCTAATTGATTCTCCAAAGAATCTCCGAAAGAAACGAAAACGTTTCGAGCCAAGGTTGCTTGCACGTTTAAACATCAAGTTAAATGGTCGAACGGTTGAAGCTTTGTTTTTGTCAGGTAAATTTCGACTTTTTTTTTTATTTTTTATTTTTTAACTTTCTCTCCCTCTTCTTTCCCCGTTTCTCGTCTCTTTTTACGTGAACGCGATGCGCTGTACACATCGGGAATAAACTTTTTAAAAAAGAGAAAAATCGCGCTACACCTTGCTCGCTGCTTTCTAAAAGCAGTAAATTTTTATTCGATCTTCGAGTTTCCGATATTTATCGCGCGTATGTTTTGATTTACATGTGAAAATCGTTTCTTTTTTTCTCTGTTCTCTTTTTTCTTTTTTTTTTTTTTCCGTGCATCTCTAAACGAAAATGCCCTGCTCGTAGATTTGTTAACGAACAGGATTGAAGTCGAACGAGCTTCCAGCAACGCTTGTGTCGTCTCATTTCCCTCGCCCCCCTCCCCGTTTCCCCCCCGTCGAGGCAAATTAATCGATTCCGTCCAATTTCTTAAATCGTTTTTGTGTTTGATCTCGTTCGGTAGTACCTTATTAGTTTCCATGTGGCGATTCGGTTGTCGTCCGGATCAATCAAAAAGGGGATTTCGTCCAGGCAGTTTTCATACGGGACGGGACATTGATTCCGGTTGGCCAATATTTGCGGTTTAATGGAAGGATATCGTTTTCGTCTTGTTTTCGCACGTGGTCCCCTGGTCACTGGTCACTTGGTCCCCTGCTGGAAACGGCCACGTTGCGCCACGCTCTTTGCCAGGGATTAAACGCCTTTCTCTCCCGCAATTAATAATTACACGCCGGATTATCCACCCTTCAACCGGCTCCGAGGCTCGAATTTTTGAAACTCTACGATGGAAATTTATTAAACTTAAAGTTACTCAACGTATGTTGGATGATGCTATTGATCCTAGCTACTACGTGCGTGGTGTGCTTCCTGCTCGCGAGTCTCAACGATAATGAACATTTTTTTTACAATGCAAAATCAAGATTCCATTTTATCCGTAATTTGAATGTATAGCTTTCACGAGCAAACATTTCAGAAAATTTATCAACACTTGAAAAAACTTATGAAAAATGCGATTCTTCTGACGTGTTGTTTGAACAAAAAGTTTTTTCGCAAAATGGTATAAACTGTCAAGTTCTTCGTTAAGTGATACTAATTTTGTCAAATTAAACAGAAACTGTATCTTCAGTAATTTTCCGAGATGTTTGACGAAATAATTTCGCAGCCTTAACTTTGAAGTAGTCACTCCTACAACGTGGATGATTGCCGATAAAAAAAAGAAAAACAGGTCAAATATTTTTTTAAAAACTAAATTTATGCCAGATTTCGTCAAAATCGGTTCCCATTATAGAGCACTTACTACGTGTATTTATATTGAAAGAAATGAAGTAATCGAAAAATTGTAAAATAAGAATGAATTTTTTCTCGTTTAAAATATATATATAAAGGAAATCTTACCAAAAAATAAAAACTATGTTTATATTTTCATCGAAGAATCCGAACGATTTTTTTGAAAGTTTCCATTGATCATGCTCCATAAATCTGTTTCTGAAGTTTTTATACCTGCTTGTTTAACTCATTCCAAAGTTTCTCGGGTGGCCACTTTATAATTTTCACTTTGAAGTTTCAATAATTTCTGCATAGTTGTAATGTGTGTCATTGGTCGTGCAATAAATGTAAAATTTCGTTCAATTAAACATTGCTCAGAAGTAATTATCACGTAAAATTTTTAATTTATTTATTTGAACTGGATCAGCTTTTTTTTCTTTGGCCCCACATTTTCTATGGATGTTTCCCTTATGTTTCACTGTTGGTACTGAAGTAAAATAAGAATCGAACATCGTCTACCTCAATTCATCAGTTCATAAGACTCATTTAAATACTAAATACTTTTTACTTTGTCTTAACCATTTGCGCTGGTAACTGATTGCGGACCATAACGAGCGACCAAACCGTATACAATAATTCGTCGTCTTTCTTTTTCTTTTGAACTCGTCGGTACGATATCACTGGATAGAAATTATCGAGAAATAATAAATTTATTATTTGTTTTGCCTTTCTTTACACAATTACATTAGTATATATTGAACTAAACAAAATTATATTAGTTTATATTAACTTTTAACCACTTGCGCTGGCAACTGATTGCGGACCATAACGAGTGACCGAACCGTATACAATAATTCATCGCCTTTCTTTTTGAACTCGTCGGTATCACTGGATAGAAATTATTGAGAAGTAATAAATTTATTATTTGTTTTGCCTTTCTTTACACAATTACATTAATTTATATTGAACTAAACAAAATTATATTAGTTTATATTAACTTTTAGCCACTTGCGCTGGCAACTGATTGCGGACCATAACGAGTGACCGAACCGTATACGATAATTTGTCGCCTTTCTTTTCCTTTTGAACTCGTTGGTACGATATCACTGGATTGAAATTGTTAAAAACTAATAAACTTATCGTTTGTTTTCCCTACATTTGAATATACTTAAAACTGAGAAAATACTTGCAATTTTGGGAGAAAAAATTCTCGACGTGCGTGGCACGTTATTCCCGCACAAGTGGTTAATACGGATGTTTTTAACAATTACACATCCATCTTCTGCAATTATTTAAAACTCAAAGTGTCCTTAGAGTTGTGATTATTGTAATTTCGGCTTTTTGACGAAATAAGGATACCAAGGTCGAAGGTTATTAAAATAAAAATTGACCCCTGTGAAGTAGAGTAAAGTAAAGAATTATACTTTAATCGCAGCGAATGTGTCGAAGTTTTCTTCTCATCAAGAATGGAAGATTGTTCGACCAGCGAAGGATACGATCTGCCTTCAATCTTTGATAGTGACGAGACTCGGTTAAAGTTAATCGATTATCATGGAGAAACTTTGTCATTAGATAGTTTGTCGCTCGGTCGTAACTAACGCCAGTCGCGGACAGGGTTTCTTTCTTTCCTAACGTCGAACTGCCCTTACGAAGTTTCCTCTCCACGTCTTTTCTATCGCATCTTCCATCCTCGCTTCCCATCATCCCTTTGTTCCTTTTCATTTTCAAATACCACCATCGATTCGGTGAATTTTCAAAAATCGAAATCCTGCCCGATGTGCTCTTGTACAAGATTCGAATTGTCGCTTATTCGATAATCGGTTGTCAAAAATCGACGGGCTCGAGAGAAGAAAGTAGAAATTGCGGGCTTCGAAAGACTCGATTAGGACCATTTCTTCCCCCCCTTTCCTTCCTCGCCCCCCCCTCCCCTCTCTCTCTCTTTCTTGCGGAAAACTCTTGGAACGGGAGGTTTCACTTGTATTTAATCGATGGCTGATTTACCGGGTTGCAGGGGCTTGAAGCGACATTGAGTGACAGCAAAAAGAAGTACGGCGACAAGGTGAATGCACTTCTGTCCGCCTGGGAGCATGTCACCAATTTCATTCCTGGGGCAACGCCAGAGGCCACCCAGTCTCTCATAGAATGGGCTCACAAGTGAGTATTTTGCGCCCATTGGTGCACCTTCGTGCTTCTTCACCTCGCATCGACAAGTCGTCGAGAAGATGAATGATTTTCACAGTCGTTTGAAAGCAACACGTGCTTCGTGATTAACATTTGCTCAAGTATCAGGTATCCAGAAGAGTTCTTGTCGATTTCTGTTGATCACAGCGCAGGAGGAACTGTTCAACGAGCTTTCAGAAGTGGGAGAAACTATCACTGCTGTGATGAATTGGAAAGAAACGTAGCTGTCGTAAACTACAGGAAGAAAATTTCGTTTCTTCAGGTTCTTTTCGTGATAAAAATAACTCATGGCAAGAACCATATTCGTCAAAGGATTTTCACTTGTTTCTGAGTCTGGATAACTACATGAGAAACGAGCAAAAGAAGAAGTGTCAGGATCTTTCCACGGTGAAACGAAAGATTTTTAGAAAAGAGTAACCATTGGGGGAAAGTTTATGAGATGTGAAGGAGGTTCATCATTTTGGTGAATCAAACTTACAATGATAAAATGGCGAGAACTTCTCTGGATATCTATAACATTTTCACAATATATATATACACATCGGTTCTCTCTTGAGATCCTAACAATATTTCAACGCATTATTATCTGAAAAAATTCTCCCTTTCGGAGAACTGAGGATTAGGATTCGTTTCTTACTGTGGTATTTATTGTTACAGACACACGTTGAAATTGGTACTGCGCGGGGAGTGGCCAAAGTTGTCACCCGCGACCAAGACGCACCTCAGTGTAACGTTACAGAGGTGCGCGTCACACCTGGTGCAACACCCCGCTGCACCCAGGTGCACTGCCCTGATAGCTCTGGTGCACAATCCATGGACTCATCCCGCTCTCGACAGCATACTTAACGGCCAACCGGATTCCGAACATGAAGAGGGTAGATTGCACTCTCACCTTATTCTTTTCCTCTTACATTTCCCATTACGTCACTCGCTAAATTCGTAGCACAGGAAATGGAAAGAAAAGTTTGTCCGTGACTGTCATGAATAGACGAATTCTATACCTTCGCTTTGATGGAAATACGTGCAAAGAATCTGCCTTGAATTTCAAGGCCAGTTTTTTCTTTTTTTTCCATTGTATTTTACTCGTCGCAAAGGTAAAACTCTCTTTTCCAAGAAACCTAATAGTTCTCTTAAAAAATGGCAAAAAGTTAACACTGCGTGTGTCCCTAACAGAGACTTCTCTTACTATAATAGCTTTATTATATTTTTGGAATGCCTTGACATTTTGGGATCAATATTCGCCACAGAATGTACGCACCATGTACGAAATACAAAATTTACGTCAGAGTATTGCTGGCTTATACTTTTTCTTTTTTCAAATTAGCACTTGTAACATGAGATGCAAAGGAAACACTTTAGAACTTATGTACATTCTTTGATATTATTCCCTGTAGTTATAAAATTATACTATGTCACCCAACTCTGCGAGTTCTGTGTACATCTGCCTTGATGAAACGTTGTTATAAACCATTCACGTGCATACTCGACAGCGTCTCGTTCACGTCGACAATGTAACATGTAACACCATATTTTCGTCGTAATATAACAATTCTAAAAATATAACATGACAATAATTCGTCATGATACAACAATTATAAAAGTATAACATGTAAATATCATATTTTCTCGATCGATCAAATTGAGGGCAGGCTACATATACTTCTCGGTGGGGGGAAAAAAAAAAGAAAATTAAAACGAGAAGTAAATATTGAAAAATACATCGTATGTATATTTTTAGAAAAATCGTAAAAGTTGATAGCGATGTGATAACGTTTAAACAACTGCGAAAATTGTGCAGAAGTTTGAAAACGGTCAATTTGATCGCTCGTGGTAAGTTTAGTGTTAAAAAAAGAAATGAAAAATGAAAAATTTGCGAGACGTTTTTGAATAACTAACGATGGATGTTATTGTTATTGTTGACCGGCTGATGTAGAGTTCTGCTGTTCGGAGAAAGGTGAACTGCTGACAATGAGGCTGAAAATACTTTGCGAGGACCGCTGCGAGGACATAGCGGTGAACCTCGCCGCCGCTTGCGTACGTTCCCTCCGACGGAGCGATCGGTTGCGTTCACTCTCGGATTCTCATCACGTTCATTACATGATCGACGTCTACATTGTCCTCTTGTATAAATTGAAACGCACGCAAGATATATTCGCTCAAGTAAGTATTTATTCCATCCGTCCAATCCAGAAGGAAAAGAGCGTTGCTCGATCCGATATATAGCCTCGGCTTTCGAGTTTTTAGCTGTTGCCGCGAACTGCAAAGTGTTCGCCGATCAATTTTCCAGAGCCTTTAATAAAAGGAGCCTTTCTTTTCAGCTAAAATTAATGGACCTCAGCGACGGATTGGAATTGGTCCAGCGACTCAGCGGTGAAAGACCGACCAAGTATGGGACCGCACGCGTTTGGAGAAATTCGATAAAGGCTGCCGAATTGGTTGCACAATATCTCGTTACCGCCGGTATGGTACGCCCTGTCCCGGAAACCGGCGCGAACATCCTCGAACAAATTCTAAACTCTTGGGCATTGTTGCATTCGAAATTGAAAGACGTAGCGCCTACGTTGCCGGGCATGATACGGAAATTGATCGAACCTGCTGAGAGTGCTCAACACATTTATATCTTTTGCGCGGTACTTGTTAAGCATGTGAGTATATATATATGTATATATCGCGTTTTTCTTACCCACCTGTTTCATACTGATTGCGTTGAATGCCACGTGACTGGCCCAAAACGTCGACACGAACCTACTATTATATCAGGTCAATTATTTTGCATTTAATGAGGTATTACTTTTCTTACTTACTGACTAAAACTGTCCTTTTTCCTAACAATTTGAAACGCAGTCACAATTGTAATTGTTGGCAATACAAGCCTGCAGTAACTGGGTTCTCCAGGTTTCAGTAATTCAAAGTGAACTATACTGTTCACAAAAATTATATTTTGAGGATATTTGCATTGGATATTGCAAGAAGCGTTAGATTTTTTTTTTTTTTTTTCTTAACAAGAACATTTGAAAAGCAAAAAAGCAAAGCAAAAGCATTTCTTCATATAATAATACAACTATATAATAACAAAGGTAATGTCGAAACATCGAAAAATATTCACATTCACTCGAATATTTATGTGTTTCTATTAATCTTGATTTAACCACTTGCGCTGGCAACTGATTACGGACCATAACTAGCGACCAAACCGTATATAATAATTCGTCGTTTTCTTTTTGACGGTATGATATCATTGGACAGAAATTATTGAAAAGTAATAAAATTTATTCTTTGTTTTGCCTGGATTATACTTAACACATTTACTATAATAAATATTTAACTTAAGTTAAATTAAAACATTTGTGCACGTTTTTGGAGCAACAGAGAAATTTTGTACAATGCATACATGCATTTCTTTAATTTCACATTGATAAAATATTCTTAAATATTAGTATATATTTTTTTATAGTAATATTTAAGAATCTATTTATTATGTATTAGAATCTATTTATTATGTATTAGATTTTAACTATTATTTATTTTATATTTGTATTAACACATTGAGGATGGTATTCATATATAGCCTGTATTTTCTCGTATTTTTTGAATTATTTAATATATGATTGAAAGGGTTCAAGAGAATGTATAGCATTTAACAAGTGTATTATTTTATTAATAATTAAAATTATTAATTATTTTTCATTTTAGAGTTATAAAATACCTCTAGTAACGTTTCTTGGTGTGGTCTGTTGGGAAACCATTTCCCTACTTTTTGAAAAATTATAATATATAATTGTACATTATAAATTAATTATAATATATATAAATACGTATAACTATATAATATAAATTATAATATATAACGTTGCCTGGGTCGTGTGTCCCCTGCAAAAAAGCGTTCCCCGTCCGCAGTGTGTTAAATATACTTAAAACTGAGAAAATGTTGCAATCTTGGTTGCAAAAAATTCTCGACGTGCGTGGCATTCAACGTGTGAAAGTGAAACGATCCGAGATCATTCTCATCGTTTGTTCTTCTTTCGATTGCAGTTCGGCGACAGCATAAAGCCCCTGGTGATCGAATTGTACATCAGGGCGTTGACCACCGACATGAACGAGCTTGAGAGCCAGAAGACAAAGTCCGACACGGAGAAGGTCCGCGAGACTGCGGAGCGTCTGAGCATGCAGTTCCTCAAGCTGGCGGACGTAGTCGGTAGCAACATCGGCATTGCCCGTGAATGCGTGCTGACAGCGTTCTCCCTGCATCCTACCAGAACTTGTTACGACAGGATCAAGGAGATCGCGGTCGAGTGCGGGAAGACGAAAGAGGACGGTGGGACAGCGTGCGGCGACAGCAACGTCGTCGGTAGCGAGAAATTGAAGCACATCCTGGAGAACAATCATTCGACCGTGGTGGGAGGGCTGAAGAGGGCCGAGAGCAACGGCATCATCGGTAACGGCGAGAAGAGCGACGAGTTGTTTCCAGTTGTGTCGTCGTTGCCCAGCTCGGGCGTGACGATAACGACGACGATTGCGTCGACGAAGAAGAACATGGACTTCCAGAACGGGCAAGTGAGCAAGAGCTTCGAACGGACGGATCAGCTGTTGAAGAGCCTGCTGACGCCCAAGAAGGGTGACGCGGCGGCGATCAGCAGCACGGTGAGCGACAGGTGTCTGTTGCATCCGAAGAGGGACCCGTTGTCGAACGGTCCCCTCGGCGAGCTTTGCTTCAACTGCGGCGAGTTCACCGGGAACTGCGACATCGCGACGCGACGGAGCAAGACCCCGGAGTCGAACGACACGACGGCTTCCAGGAACGTGGAGAGAACTCTCGACGCTCTGATTCTGATCAAAGGGGACGCGGTGACCGGTTCGGCGAACTACGACGAGAAATCGGTGCCGAATCAGGTGCTGGACGCGGAGAAACTCGGCCTGTCGCCGCAGCTTTGCGACGACCTGGCCGTCGTTCTCAGCAGTCCCCGTTACCACATGCTCAGCTGGGTTTTAGACTGGAAGGAACTGAACAGCCTGTGCGAGAGGTACCTGGAGAACGCCGAGGAGATGCGCAACACGAACAAGGAGCTCAAGTACCTCAACATCGACTACTCGCAGTTCAAGGACTGGCCGTCGGAGGACGACACGAAGGACATCTTCTTCGGGATAGAGAAAGGGTACGAGCAGTGGGTCGATTTACCCTCGGACGGTTCGGAACAGTTCGGTAGCTTCCAGCCGGCTGGTAGCTACAAGAGATCCTCGACGAGAAGGAGCCTCGACGACACCACCACCACCGACTCCGACAGCGGGAGCGTGCTGCGGATAAGGAGGACAGGCAGACAGAGGAAAATCCACAGGCTAGAGTCGTCCGAGAGCGACTACGACAGCGCGGAACGCCGCAAGCCGAAGCACTTTAGGAACAGGGTCAGCTCCATCTCCGACACCGACAGCAACACGCAGGACAGCCAAACGGACAGCCTCGGCAGCGACGGATGCCGGCTCGAGGTGAAGAAAAAGCCGGGCAAATCGTGCTCGAGCAAAGAGTCGAGTAAAAAACGTTCGAAGGCCTCGAAGCTGACGGTCGAGTCGGTCTCGCATTTTCACATGCTCGTGAACGAGAACGTTCGACACGCGAACAACACGAACGAGGACGCGAGCGGCTCGGACGTGAGCAGCAACGACATTATAACCCTGTTCTCCGCCGACATGGACGAGAACAAACGAGAAACGATCAAAGGCTCGGCGTACACCGCGGCCGCGCCGTTGATTATCACCGAGAGAAGGAGCGACCCGGCTGTGCTCAAGTCGCTGAGGATGTTCAGGCCGCAGAACTCGAAGAAGTCGACGAGGATATCGCAGATATTGCAGAAGAACCTACTGAACAAGAGTAGTAAAGACAATAATAACCTGGAGAGTAACGGGAACAATATATCGAAGTTTGCCCCGATGCTCAGCACGCTGAACCTGAACCCGAAGATCGTGTTGACGAGGGCGGACGAGATCGACAGGCGGCTGATCCGTTCGAAGAAGCAGCAACGGCTGAGCAGCGGCGACATTACCAGCGAGTTGATGAACATTCAGAAGAACATGCCGTTCTCGCCGAACAAGAACCCGTTGTCCACGTATCAGAAGCAGAAGGGCAACGTCGGGGCGTCGATGGTAGCTGGCAAAACGGACGACGGACGGGACTTGAACTCGAAAACGAACCTGGGCAAACGAAAGTTCGACATTCTCGCCAAGGCTGTCAGAGATTCGGACATCTTGGCGAAGAACGTGCCGGGCCTGAACTCGTTGGACATGATGGTGCCGCCGAGGATGCGGCCCACCGTGAACGTCGTGCAACTCTCGAGAAACATTCCACAGAGCCCGAACTCGGGCTCGATCAACAGCGGGAACACACCGCCGCGGCCGAACAGAACGCCGAGCGTTGCTGGCAACATTCAGCTACCCGGTACACCATCTTCCGGAGGTCACGACAGCGGCGTCGGCATGAGTCCAGCCGGTCAGACACCACCACCGAGGGGTTCGTCAATTCTTCCCGACGTCGGCGAGGAGACGAATCAACCGCCCGACAGTTCGCCGACCTCTTCCACCGCCACGAATCTCTCCGTCGGTCAACTCGAGCCGGACTCCAGCCCGCGAACCATGCCTATTCGGCGGAATCAACAGCAGAACCAGTCGCCTAAAAAGTCTCCGTCTCCATGTTCGGCGGTGATCACCGCGACCACCACGACGACCACCAGCTCGGGTGTCGCCTCGACAACCATCGCGTCCGAACAGTTGCAGATCGTGTGCAAGCCGGACGGCACGTACCAGTTGGCATCGGTGAATCCGAACGTGGTGTCCAATCAGAGGAACATGCTCAGCCTGCAGAACATCGACGACGCGGCGAACGTGGCGAATTTCTCGCGCCAAGGACCGAGGGGTGTCGAACACGCGAACACGAACAGGAGCACGTACGAGAGGTTAACGTCCGCGAAAGTGACGGCGCAGTCCGGCCAGAACGCCGGCCTGCCCAAGTTTCAGCAAGCTTTCGGCAAGACCATATACACGCTGTCGACGGACACGTCGGCGGTGGCGAGCGGCGTGACCGGCGCCTCGTCGGAAACGCTGGTGCAGTCGGTGTCGCCGCAGAAGGCGGCCAACCTCTCGAAGGCGGTGCAAACCTCGGTACCGAACGCGCAACAAACGAACGCCGCCACCACGGGGATAAACGTACAGTCGATCGCGAACATTCCAAACACGTTGCAGCTGTCCACCAGCAGACAGATCCTGAACATCGTGCAGAGCTCTGGGAACAACGCGAACGTTGCCACCAGCCCGAACGCGAATCAAACGTTGACGCAGTTGGTGCAAAGCGTTCAGAACGCCTCGCCCGGTGTGATATACACGCACAAAATTCCCGTCACCATATCCACCACGAATCCGAGTCAATTGAACATTATACCGACTATATCGCACGCGAACTCGATACCAGCTGGGAGAACGCCGGTGGTCAAGTTGAACATCATCCGTGCCCCTTTGAGGCAGCAGAACATCACCGGAGCTATTCAAGCAGTTTTAACCACGCCAAGATTGCAGCAACAGCAACAACAACAACAACAGCAGCAGCAGCAACAACAACAGCAGCAGCAACAGCAACAGCAACAGCAGCAGCAACAGCAACCGCCGCCGCCACCACCACCACCACCACCGCCATCGCAGCAGCAACAATCGACAGTCAGAACGGACAATTTGCTTGGATCTCCCATAGAGGTACCGAACCAAGTCAGCTCGACGACGTTGGAACAGTTGAGAGAGTTCGAGAGCGTTCTGGAACAGGTGAAGGAGAGAAGCACGATTCAACCGCAGTCTCACCAAACGATATCCACCGCGACCACCACCACCGTGCAGACGCAAACAACCACGCAGCAAACGCAAGCCAGCAAGCAGCAGCAGGTGTCGGTGAGCGCGCTGGCCCAGCAGCTGCTGATGCCGACGCAGCAGCAAACGGCCACCAACAGCGACTTCGCGAGCAACGGCAACGCGACGGTGAATTTCCAGCAGGACGTTTTCTCGCAGAAGGTCTCGCTGGCGTACGTGAATCAGAACGCTGGCTCGGCGGCGGTGGCGGCTGCCGCCGCGGCCGCCGCCGCCGCTGCAAAGACACCCAACTCGACGCCGGTGGTTGTGGTGACCAGCTACTGTCAGCCGGCTGCCTCGCCCGCGTTGAGCGTCACGTCGCAGAGCTCTTCCAGCCCGTGCGTCACACCGGCCCCGGCGCCTCTGCCCTCCGCCGGCAAGACACCGCCCACGCCGCCCTCGTCGAAAACGGTGAAGAAGACGGCGCCGAAGACGGTGAAGACGAGTGCGACCAACACGTCGAAGGCGTCGCCGATACCGAAGCCGCAGCAGAAGCCGCAGGAGGACGAGCAAACCGCCCAGAGGATCTACGCCATTTTGGACGAGTACGCGGAGCAGCTGCGAAACTCGCCGGATCTGAACAACAAGCCGGCACCGAGAAGAAGATCGAACCCGCCGACGAACCCGAGCCAGTCGTCCAAGAGGAAAAAGTCGAGCGCGAACAAGACGAAGCCGGTTGGCCAACAGAACTCGGAGCTCAGCCCGAGCACGGACGACCTCGGTAGGACGATGGGCAGCGAGGACTCGTCGAGCGGCGTTGTCCACGTTCAGGACAGTCCCGCCGGTTTCTCCGCCCCGGACGAACCGGCCGCCAACGTGGCCAGCGTAACCGACGCGGCTGCCGAAGTGAGAAATCTGACCAACGACTCGAACGACGGTGTGGAGTTGAACGTCAAGCGGCGAAACCTGATCTTCGCGGAGCCCGGCTCCGGCCAGTCGAGGGCGGTGATCGTTCAGGAGGCTGTGCAGACGAGTTCGGTGAGCGTGAGCGAAGCCCTGGCTTCGGTCACCGGGAAAATGGGGAGCACGGCCGTCCTGGTCCCTGGGCCTAACTACATCTTGCCGATGAACCTGGTGAAGGGTCAGCAGTTCACAATAGTATCCAGCGGGTCGAAGCTGCTGGCGACCGTGCCAGCGACCGTGCGAACCACTGGGAACACCGGCGTCTCCAACACCCTGGTCCTCCAGTCGTTTCTCAATCAAGCGGGCAAAATAATCTCACAGCCGGCGCAGGTGAAGCAGGTGAAGATACCAACGCTACAGACACTGTCGAGCAACCAGACGTTAGCCACCGCGCAGAACGTTCAGGGCGCGTCGGTGGTGATTCCTCAGGGAGCCGGGAGCCAAGCCCAGTTCACCAGCGACGTGGCCACCGAGAAGAGCAACATCATCGGTGACTTGACCATGGGGAAATCCGACACGGTGGCGGGGGCGGTGACTGTCGAGTCGACGACAAACGCGATCGTCGTGAACAAGAGCAACTCGACGATCGGTCTGATCCAGCGTAACCTGAACGAGCCGTCGGACAGTCAACCGATATGCGGCGTGATCACCAGCAATCCAAACTTGACCCTTCAGGGTGCCAGACTGTTCAACTCGTCCATACACAAACTGACGACGCCGGGGCTCAAGTCTGACAACGTGGTGTGCATAACGCCGACGGCGACCATCGCCCACAGCCCGGAGAAGAAGTCACCGCAGGAAAGTCAGATTCACAACGACAAGCAGCCTGTCTCCATCCAGACCGGTGCGACGATCGCTCTTGCCTTTGCCACTCAGTCCGACGTTTCCTTGTTGAACGACACGCAACAACAGCAACATCAACAACAGCAGCAGCAGCAACAGCAGCAAACGCAGCAGAAAGATACGAAGGAAATATCGACGGAAATAATCTCCGGTGCCAAGATCATCTCGCCGAAGACGGTCAAAAGAAAAATCGACGACACAATGGGTATGTCGGAGAACGTTCCGAAAACCTTGATCACTTCCAACTCTGTCGTTTGTTCGAGCAATGCCGCACCGTTGCAGAGTAACGAAAAAATTGGTTAGTGTCTCTTTTTTTTCCAAGGTTCAGTAGACAATATAATTGGATAAATTTTTTTTTCCACTATTCAAGGGGGTGTCAAATTCGTTCACGCTATAATTTGTAATTTTCT